GTGTGTGTGTGTGTGTTATCCATTTCTCAAAGGAAAGTTATTTCACATCGTGAAGTTTCTGTAATTGAGATGCATCATGGACATAGATGAATGTGGTAATTTGCATTCCAACACTCTCCCCCAAACGAAGCTGTTATGAAATCAATGTGTATTCTATCTTAGAATCAAGGCAATGTGGCACAGCCCCTGGCAAATATTAAGTGGCCAATAGTTGTAGCTATTGTTATAGTAGCAGCCTTAGAAACACTAAGAGCTTGGCTGTAAAGGGAAGAAATGAAGCAGAAACGAAACAGAAACTCTCCACTTTCAGTAAAACGGCAGGAGGGCGGGAGGATCTGGCAGGAAGGGGCTGAACATGATCTAAGGGGATGTCGGGAAGTTCTCTTGGGAGAGTTTATCTGTCAGAATCGGTGGCAGGTGCTTGCTCTGCGCCAGCCCCTGCGCTGGGCACCAGGGGGCAGGATGAGCTAGGACGGCTGCCCTCCCAGAGGCAACACGGTGCAGGGGGCAATCCTAGAAAGCATGGCAGGCGCTGCAGGGCTGACCCGTGGCTCCGTGGCTCCGAGGGCTCCTGCCTCGAGCACCAGGTGAAAGTTTCTTCAAACCTGTCCTGTGAACCGCAGGTGAACCCTCCCCGCCCCACGCCCTGGGCCGGGGCGCAGGTAGGGAAGGCAGCTCTTTGGCAGCTGTGGTGCCCAAAACACAACCATCCTGGAGAGGGGCCGAGGCCTCAGCACAGGCTGTCCAGCCCACAGAGGGACGAGGGGAGGTGGCCTCAGGGCACGTGGGCACCTCCAGGGACACGCCAGTGGGCCGGCGGGTGTGAGCTCACCTGCCCTTCCTCTCTGCCCCTCCAGCCTGCCTGCTTGTCCACGTGCCATCCTCGCCATGGCTCCTGGAGAGAAGATCAAAGCCAAAATCAAGAAGAACCTGCCCGTGAGGGGGCCGCAGGCGCCCACCATTAAGGAGCTGATGCGGTGGTACTGCCTGAAGACCAACACCCACGGCTGCCGCCGCATCGTGGTGTCCCGCGGCCGCCTCCGCCGCCTGCTCTGGATCGTGTTCACGCTGACCGCGGTGGCGCTGATCTTCTGGCAGTGTGCCCTGCTCGTGCTCTCCTTCTACACCGTCTCTGTCTCCATCAAAATCCACTTCCAGAAGCTGGATTTCCCTGCAGTCACCATCTGCAACATCAACCCTTACAAGTAAGAGGCAGGGCAGGGCCCGGCGGGGGGTCAGGCCCTCCTGGAGGGGACCCTCCAGCCTGCAGACATGCTCTGTGGAAACTTGAACTCGTTGCCAACGTTGGCAAATTGCCCTCTCCCAGCCTCTAAATCTGCACCAGGTTTTCCCTCCAGCTGCTTCTGAGGATGGGCTGGCTCAGGGAACGCCTCGCCGGGGAGGCTGCGAGGATCAGTTTTGCTTGGGGGCTGGATCTGGGATGAGCTATCCCACCCTAGACACACACACATGCACGCACATGCGTGCACACACTCGAGCACACACACACGCACATGCACACCTGCACGCACACGGCTCAGCTTAGCCATGTCCCCTGAGCTCTCCGAGCTCACGCCCTCACTCTCCCCAGATGTGAGCTCATGGCTGACTCAGAAGTTGCACCCTGGTGACTTCCGGAAGCATCTCAGCTGCCCCAAATTCTCACCTGAGCGAACCCAGCCCACTGTTTGAGGTCACTGGGCTCTGGGCAGAATCAGGCCTCGGTACTGCTCTGTCGTCTGCCACAGGACCTGTTTTAAATGGGTCACCGGTGTCCTTCTTGGGATTCTTGAAAACTGATCTGTGAGGCAGATCAGAATCCGGCAGAATTTGTCTGAGCAGGTGAGGGGTGGGGAGAAGGGGAGCAAGGCAGGAAGGTTCTCAAAGGGAGCTACCTGGGCCAGGGTCATCTATGAGTAGATAGATGGCTAAGGTCAAAACCAACATCGGGTCTAAGACTCATTCTCCACCTCAAAGTCTTCTTTTCTTTTTTTCTTTCTCCACCCCCTTTCTTACTTTTTTTCCTGCTTCTCTCCCTCCTTTCTTTTTTCCTTCTGTTCATTATTTGTTCCCTAATCTTCTACAAATTGTGGTAGAATGTGGGGCATAGAACTGAGCAACCCAAACACAGTCTTTGTCCTAATGGAACTGATATCGTACTAGAAGAGTGAAAAGCTAACAAATACAATTAACACCAATACAACTAAGAATAGTGGCCATTTAGTTAAGTAGGCATAATAAACTCATGGACTCTGCCTACTAACCCCATGTTAGAGTTGGGGAAATGAGACATGGAAAGGCTCAGTGACTTGTCCAAGCGGACACATCCAGAACCAGGGTAGGGAACTGGAACCCAGGTGACGGGCTCCATTACTATGCACAGCACGAGGAGGAGGGTGGAGGGAAGGAGTCCGGGATCATGGTGCTGTGAAGGGTGGTGTCATGTTTCAGTCACTTGAGTCCTCTATCATTCTTCTGTGTTCTTGGGTTGTCAAGGCAACAGTTACACCTCTTCCTTCCCAGCACTGACTCGAGGAGAATCAGAGGGCAAGGGCAAGGGCAAGTGTGCCAGGTGGAGCTGGAGCCTGCCCCCTGGGTACACCCTCACCTATCAGTGGCTGGTTTATGGGAGGCACCTACAGTCACCACTCCAGAAATGCTGGTTGAGGCAGACTCATCAACACACCCCGAGAGCAAGCAGACAGTGGTGGCAGAGGTGAAGCCACACAAGGGTCCACAGAGCTGTCCCCATTCACTCAGGCCAGTGGTCACTTGGGACGGGGCAAATCGTAAAAGGCCTGGTCTCCTTGGCCAATGGTCAGGAGCAGTGGGCACAAGGCTGGCACGTGTGGATGGAAAGCAGCATGGGAAGTGCCAGCCTTGTGCCAGAGGGGCTTCGGCTCTCTCTGACTCCCTCTCTCCACCTTGGCAGGTACAGCGCCGTGAAGCCCCTTCTAGCCGACTTGGAACAGGAGACCAGAGCGGCCTTGAAGACCCTGTACGGCTTCTCAGAGATCGAGTCCCGGAAACGCCGGGAGGCCGAGCCCTGGAGTTCGGCGTGGGAGGGCCCCCAGCCCAAGTTCCTCCACCTGATCCCACTGATGGTCTTCAATGAGGGTGAGACCAGCAAGGCCACAGACTTCCTCACGGGGCAGAAGCGTAAAGTCAGTGGGAGCATCATTCATAAGGCAGCGGACGTCATGCATGTCCAAGAGTCCAAGGAGGTGGTGGGATTCCAGCTGGTGAGTACACGCTCCTGGTTCGGAGCAGGGGGTGGGCTGCAGGTAGTGGTCCAGGGCGGTGTCTCCTTTGCCTTTAGCCCACGGCCCCACTGGAGGAAGCGCACCCAGTGAGGGTGAACGGGCTACAGACAACTAAAATGGATGCACCATCTTAAGCAGAAAGCAAATGTCTTAGGTGACCAGTAGTTCGCCTAAGGACAGAAATTGGGGAAGATCCAGGGCTCTTGGTGACAAGAAATGATGGAACGTCATGTCGGATACTGCTGCTGGGTTACATAAGCTTCAAGTAGTTTTAGTCTTCGTAATTCATCCATGAAGATGGTGTCCCAGGCCATCTTGGGATAGCTGATTGGCCAAGCTTAGATCACCTGCTGGCTCACAGAGGGCGGGGACCTTGATAGACAGCCTCACGAGACTGTATCCACAGGGGGAACGGAAACTCCACCAAAGCAAAATTGGGGCACAGACACCAGAAAGAAGAAGATAAACAGCAGAAACACCCAGTGTTCCCTGCATTGCTTGCCTTCGTGGGGGGCACGCCCCTGATCTCTCCTTCTTAGTCCCATTTGAGGGGCTCAGAAAAGGTAGCCCTTCACCAAAAATGAGATTCATCACTTACCTTCCTGGGCAAACTCAATCACCACCGTCCTCTGCATGCCCCAGCCACCGCCACAGGCTGAGAGCTACTTCTATACCTTCTAGCCTTGAGTGCTGATGGTGAGACCTCCTGACTCCAGTCCCAGGCCCTGAAAAAGTGGCCTTCTCTCTTAATCACCGAGACTTTTCAAGTGTTCCTGGGTTCTTTCATAACATGCCACAAGGTTCTCCTTGATGCCCAAATCAACCCTTTGGTGTCTGTCTTTTAGGAGCGTGTTTAAGCCCTGCATGATGAGAGCATCTGGGTTGTACCACAATTTCCCTATAAAGCTCTCATTATTGTATTTTTTAATACATATGTTTATTGACTTCAGAGAGGAAGAGAGAGGGAGAGAGAGATAGAAACATCAATGATAAGAGAGAATCATTGATTGGCTGCCTCCTGCATGCCTCCCCACTGGGGATCGAGCCCACAACTTGGGCATGTGCCCTGACCAGGAATTGAACCGTGACCTCCTGGTTCATAGGTTGACACTCAACCACTGAGCCATATCGACTGGGCTTATTGTATATTTTAAATGCTGCTCTTCCCAATGACCGTGTGAGGTGGGGAAGGATGGTATTTTTGTCAGCATTTTGTAGTGAAGTAATGGGTGTATAGCGCCTTGCCCAAGGTCCTGCAGAGAAGCAGTGTCAGAATCTGGGCTACAATTCAGAGATTTAGACTGTGGAGCCAATAGCAACTCAGTAACGATAATGGCCAAAGCCCTGATGTGTGGGGGCCCTAAAGAAGCTAGTTCTGCTTTTCACCGGGTAGGGAGGCATTCCTTCCTCACTGACCCCTTCTTGGTCCTTGAGGCTCCAGGATGATGTCCCTCAGCCCCCAGGTATGAGCAGAAGCCCATCCTTGCCCAGGCACCCCCTCCCCACCCCCCACACCCGTTCCCCTGGCATCTGGTCTGGAGTCTCAGTTTCTCACCCTTCCAGGCCTGTTGTGGGCCAGTGCTGGGGCTGACGGCTTCAGGCTCGTGTCTCCTCTTATTCGCAGTGTTCGAACGGCACGTCCCACTGTGCTGTGTACACCTTCAGCTCGGGAGTCAATGCCATCCAGGAGTGGTACAAGCTGCACTACATGAACATCATGGCGCAGGTGCCTCTGGAGAAGAAGATCAACATGAGCTACTCTGCCGAGGAGCTGCTGGTCACCTGCTTCTTTGACGGGGTGTCCTGTGATGCCAGGTGAGGAGGGGAAGGCTGCTCTCTCAGCTCCGGGGCCGGTGGTGCTGAGCGCCGGGCTCCTCGCATGCGCCTGCAGCTCAGCTGTAGGTCTGGGAAGGGAATGGCGGTCTTCTCACTGGCTCACCCTTTGGAGAACAGCTTACACAGGAGCTAGGCTCCAGACAAGAATGTCAGCAGACTCCAAGGCTAACACGGGCCAAATAAGCAAGGTTGAAGTGTATGTGACCGCAAAAGCTTCAATTTTCATAGAAATGTAGGTTTATTTCAGTAGAGACATGCTGAATACAAAGGGCTGAAATAAATGAGTCATCATTAATATAAAATAATAGATAATTTTAATAAAAATTAATATTTTTTCTTGAACATTAACTTACCAGACACTGAATAACTGCACAAATTAATAAGCGTAACACAAATAAACCTATTTTTCTTGTTCTCCAAAAGCGAAATATTTCCTATTGCGCACACCAAACAAGTCAGTCCAAGACTAATGACGTGGCAATCAGCTGGTAAATATTCACTGCTGGTATTAGTGGAGAGAAATGGTGCGCCTGCGTGTAAGGCTCGTAAGGGAAATGAATGCAACACGATGATAGCAATCAGTCATTAGCGAGAACATTGTATCATTATTAATAATTATGTATAACAGGATATTGTAAAAACTAAGTTATGAAATTTTTATTAAAACGTTTCTTACATACCTTATATTGGCTGGGCCGCGAAAATATTCGTAGTGGGCCGTATGCGGCCGGTGGGCCGCAAGTTTGACATGCTTGGTCTAGAGTCAGTGAGGAAGGTGGAGATGGTGCAGAGTCACAATATCCTTAATCTCATTGAAGTGCTCATAGAAACAGACACAGATGGTGGACATACGGCCTTGTCTATTACCATCATGCATACCAATGATCAAGAGCCACTGATTTAGCATAGAGGAAGGGAAGGAGGAAGGAGGGAAGAAGAGAGAGAGGAAGGAGGGAGGGAGGGAGAGAGGGAGGGGGGAGGGAGGGAAAGGGAGGGAGGTCTGAGATGTGACCCTTCTCTGAGGATCATGTCCTAGGACCGGGGATTGGGATAGAAAAATGTCAAGAGCCTGAGAACTTCAAGAATAAAGGGATTTGGGGCAGACATATGGCATAAGAAATACCAAGTCAGGATGGAGATGGAGGCGAGAAGATTGAGAGGGGGAACAGGAAGCAGCATGTGTCAGCCCGAGGAGAGGCCTGTTTGTCATTTCCGATAGGAAAGTTGGGGAAAGTGAGTCCTGTGTGTCCTCCATTGTTCACAAAAGAGGGGGGGCTGTAGCACTGCCCCTTCTGACCCATATTCTTCCTCCACAGGAACTTCACACTTTTCCACCACCCAATGTATGGGAATTGCTACACGTTCAACGATAAGGAAAATGAGATCCACAGCACCTCCATGGGGGGCAGTGAGTACGGTAAGGCCTGCACCGGGCGGTCCTGGCGGCAGCCAGCAGGGGCGCTGGATCTCCCAGAAGTGCAGGAACTCCCACGGCCAGAAACCAGGGGCACTTTCCCTGCGGCAGTGTGTCCATCTTTCCCCCTTTGTGACATCTCCTCTTTACCTTTGAGAGAGCAGTAGCGACATGGCTGGGGTTTCTTCTCTGGGACTCCACTCTGGTTTAAGCTCGGAGCTGGAGTGAGTAACGCTAGGCAGGCAGCTTCCAGATGGACTTACACCCAGATGTACTGGACAGGAGATTAGGGAGGCAAACACTTACCTTGATCTTGGCTAAGATGACAGATTCCGGAGCCAAAACCCAGCTCTGCCACTCACTGTGTAACCTTGTAAAGTGACTGCACTCGTCCCAAACGGGGACGATAGTAACAGCTCCGAGGGAAGGTCACTGAGCAGACAGGCTGTGTGAAGCGCTTAGAATAACACTTGGCACACGCTGGGTCAGTCGGCCCGGGCTGCCAGACAAAAGATCACCGCCCAGGGGCCTTGAGCAGCTGACATTTTTCCTGACAGTTCTGGGGGCTGGAGGTCCATGGTCAAGGTGCTGGCAGATTTGGTTTTGGGAGGCTTCTCTTCCTGGCTTGCAGGTCAGCCACCTTCACGTGGCCCTTGCTGTGCACACAGAGAGCTTGCAGGTGTCTCCTCTTCTGTGCGGACACCAGTCCTGTGGGATCAGGGCCCCACCTTATGGCTTCATTTAACCTGAATTACCTTCCCATCTCCAGGCACAGTCACACTGGGGTTAGGGTTTCCCCTTATGAATTTGGGGGGGAGGACACAATTCAGTCTACAGCACACACGAAGCACCCAGTACGTCTAGCTGTGCTTGTCATGGCCGCTCTAACTGCATTGCGAGCGTGGTGCTGTTCAACCAAAGCCGGCGCCGGCCGGCACCAGTGTGGTCACTGCTACCCCCAAGGCTGCTGTCTACTGCTCTCCAGCGAGGTCTGGAGGGAGGCAGAGCTCAGCACTCTGGCCGGGCTTTCTCACAAAGAGGAGCCTGGAAAGGTCCTAAGCAAACTGAGCAGAACTGATGCACAGTGCGCTCCGAAGGGAGGGCCAGGGCTGCTCACGGAGGCACATACCGCTCGGGTTCCCAGCCTTTTCTGCTGTGCAGTCTGGGTCCTCACCGAGTGCAGGGAACCATGGCTCAGGGCGCCGCTGCAGGGGGAGACGCAGTCTGGGAACTGGGCAAAGGCTCGCACAGGCCTGGCTCCGCTCCTATGGGCTGTGTGAAGTCGAGCAAATCACTTCCCCAGGCTGGGCTTCGGTTCCTTTACGAAAGAAAAAGGTCAGAACAACTCCCCACCTTCTCTTCTTTCAACCCGTGGAGGCCCTGCTCATGCGCTCACTCATTTACCAAACGTGTATTGAGTATCGCTGTATGCCAGGCGCCAGGAACGCAGTGTTGCACGGGAGAGACGCCTGCCTACTTCCAGGGAACTGGCATTTCAGTAAAGAGACAGATAACAAATGAGCAGACAAGCACAGACGTCTCCCGGTTACAAATCCTGACGGTGCTGTGCCGGGACACGCACAAAGGGGAGGAGGGAGATGCTGGGTCAGGATGCAGTTTGGTTTCAGCGAAGTGTGTCCCAAAAGGCGGGCTGGGCTGTCTCCGAGTGTCCTGGGCGCTGGCAGTGCAGACCTGAGCAGGAAAGGACTTGATGTTCGCTAAAAACAGAAAGGCCAGTGGGCTTGGAGCTTCTTGGGGGAGAGGAAGGGGGCTGGGGGCTGCGACACCAAACCCCTGCCAGCCCCAGCCAGGCTGGTGGTGTTTGTTCTGTAGCATTCTGCCCGGTGAGGGGCCACCAAGGGGTTTCAGACACTGATCTTCCCTGATTTCTGTGTTTTGGGTTTTTTTAGAGAGAGTGGAGGGGAGGGAGGAGAGACATCAATTGGTTGCATCCCACAAGTGTGCCCTGATCAGGGCCAGGGATTGAGCCTGCACCGACGTACATGCCCGTGACACATGACCCTTCAGTCCCCAGGCCGACACCCTAAACACTGAACCAAACCAGCCGAGCAAACTGATTTCTGGTTTTAAAAGGAAGGTCCCTCCTGCTGCTGGTGCGGTTAGACAGCTAGGCCAGCGGCCAGCAGCCAGTCCTCCGCCGGCGCCCAGCTCTCCCCGGGCCCCGCAGCCCCGTGCTCAGCAGAGCTCCCAGCTGAGGGACCACGTGGCGGGCATGTCTCGGCAGGGGAGCAGTTCCCTGACACGCAGCAGAATTTTGAACCCCTGCTTGGAGGCACAACCCCTCCCCTTGGGGAGCTTCCAGAGGAGCCCTGTCCACCTCCCACTTGTTGGAAATGCCCGGGCCTTGTGAGGCTCCCAAAGCAGAGAGAGGTAGGCTGCCCCGGGCAAGCTCTCCCAGCCTTTGACCACAATGAGCTGCCTTATCCTCCCAGGGCTGCAGGTCATCTTGTACATAAACGAAGAGGAATATAACCCCTTCCTGGTGTCCTCCACCGGGGCTAAGGTGATTGTCCACCGGCAGGATGAATACCCCTTCATCGAGGACGTGGGCACGGAGATTGAGACGGCGATGGCCACTTCCATAGGGATGCATCTGGTAAGAGGACAGTCTGATTTCTGTAGACTTAGCAAGAAGCACAGATTTTTCCCCAGGAAAACCAGTGAGGTGCGGCTTATGGGAGAGTGTTGGTTTCAAAAGGCAGCGTGGCCCTGTGTTCCCCAGTGGTCACCCCACTGGCTGTCCGGTGGTTACTAAAGCCTGCCTTTGTATCTTCTGTACGAGTGAACAGGACAGGATGCCGTTTGGGGGAGAATGGAAGGAACCTTCCTTGTTCCAAAGACAGACGCCAGCAATTATGGACCCTGTGTTGGATGCAAGGCATCAGACACTAACTCCATACCTGCCAGTAATGTAAATAGAGCAGGTTACGCCTTCCTTTCTGGGCCATCTAGAGGCCTGTGAGGCATGTGAACCCCTATTTAAAGGTTAATGGAAAGTCACTGGTCAGACAAATGTCTATTTAGCCCATCACACTTCTATCAGTTCCACTTCATTTACCAAGAACCCCTTCTCTCCCAAGTCTTTGACCTTCTCTGACCTCACTGGGTGCTGAGAACCCTCACACCTGTCAACAGAAGCGCATCTGAGCTGCAAACTCCCACCCTGAGTAGGTCACGCTCAATGGGAGCAGAGGGCAGCGTGAGAAGTGCGCTTCTTCTTTGCAGGCCTGCATCTTTTATGCCAGTGCACCTCTCTCTCTCCCCCTCTCCCCCCTCCCTCCCCCTCTCTCTCTCCCTCTCTCTTTTTCTAGTAGAATGACCCTTTAAAAAGATCAGTTTTTATTACTGTTTACATTCAACATTATTTTATATGAGTTTCAGGTATACAGCACTGTGGCCAGACAATGTAGAATGACCCTTAAGAACTTATTTAAAGGGAGTGTATACACAAAGACAGACACCCACCCCATAGCCAGGAACACCCCACGTATCTCCCTCCCACGCCTGACCTCCAGCCCTGCTTCCTCTCACTGCTGCTTCTGAGTCCCGGCAGGGATGTCATCGTCATTTTCAAGTATGTGCACCAGCAAACATTTCTCCTTTTATGTAAATTCAAAATACTGTTATGCCTCATTTTCCACTTGACCCTATAGCTTGGCAATGGTTCCTTATCAACACACATAGACCTGCCGCATCCTTCCTAAGGACCCAGCTATTCCATTGTGGGGAGAAGTTATTGAGCAACTCCCTCTTGATAGACATTAGGTCCTTTCCAGGCATAACTAAAAGCAATGGTGTGGTATGATGTGATGTGATGTGTATTTATCTGATAACTTCCTAGAAGTATGTCAAAGAGCATGTGTCTATGAAACTATCTACATGCTCACCAGCAATGTGTCAGAGTAGCTGGTTTTCCACACTTTCACCAACATGGGTATTAACCAACTTTTCTTTTTTTTTAAATTAATTTTGTTTTATTGCTTAAAGTATTACAAAGAGTATTACATATGTCTCCTTTTTCCCCCCCTTGATCTTCTCCCGGCCTCTCCTACCCGCCAGTGTCTTGTGACCATTGGTTATGCTTATATGCATGCATACAAGTCCTTCGGTTGATCTCTTACCCCCCCTCCCAACCTTCCCCGGCCTTCCCCCTGTAGTTTGACAGTCTGTTCAATGCTGCTCTGCCTCTGTATCTATTTTTTTTCATCAGTTTATACTGGTCTTTATTATCCATAAATGAGTGAGATCATGTGGTATTTTTCTTTCATTGACTGGCTTATTTCACTTAGCATAATGCTCTCCAGTTCCATCCATGCTGTTGCAAATGGTCTTCTTCTTCTTCTTCTTAGAGAATACCCTCCAGCATTTCATATAATACTGGTTTGGTGGTGATGAACTCTTTATCTGACCTTCAATTCTGAGTGATAGCTTTGCTGGGTAAAGTAATCTTGGTTGTAGGTTCTTGGTATTCATCACTTTGAATATTTCTTGCCACTCCCTTCTGGCCTGCATAGTTTCTGTTGAGAAATCAGCTGACA